TACTGGGCCCTGGGACAGACGAAGGTAGAGCACAGATTTTCAAGCACTTTTACTTCAACCATCATCCATTTCAAAATTTTTACCCTGATATTTAATTTGTCATAGGTTCCTAGATTAATGCTTCACTTTTCTAAAATTTTTATTTCAAAGCTTAATATGTCTCTTCCTCCTATCGTGTGGCTTCCTTTATTGATCTCCTTCTCCAAACCATCAGACCTCAAAGGGCTCTGAGTGATGTCTTACAGTGTGGCAATACAGTCTAATACAAGGACTTTGACAGAGGAAACCTTCATAAGCTGAATGCGAAGGACAAAAAAACAAATTAAAAGGTTTACTTTTTACGGAAGACTTTCTATCAATGAATGTACTAAAGCACGAAGAACTAATGGTTCTCAACCAGGGAATGACTTTGCCTCCCAAGAGGACATTTTGCAGTATCAAGAGACATTTTTTGGTTGTCACAACTTGAAGGCATGTTACTACTGACATCTAGTAGGTAGCCCAGGCTAAAGTCAAGACTTAATTAGGAATTTGTGTCTTTAATTAGGACTTTGCTACTTCGGAGGCTGCCATGTCACTCCTTTTTTAACACAACATGCTATCTCTACTTGCAACCAACCGTAAGTAAGACAAAGGAAATGACACAATACAAGTAGCAAATGGCATTGTCCTAAGAGTCACCAAAACTCAGGTCCTATATTGTAACTCTCACTTGTTACCTGATTAAAAGTGGAAGGTTGACTCTTAAGAGAGGCTGTAAATTATTTCCTCATTTTCTTAAGAAAGACCTGAATCTCGCAAGCTTAACAATAGTATATTCTCACAAAGTTAGAAAGGATATCTGAATCACAGTTGATTTTTTTTTTTTTAAGTTACTAGGAGGTAAAAAAATAAATGTTGACCTCCATTTTAATACCCCTAAGGGCCTGAAACAAGGATGCAGAACAAGATCTCTTGTTCTCCTAAACAGAAGTTGAGCCAATAACATAGGGCACTTTATGAGCCAAATACTGTCTGGTGTCCTGGAGCTAAAGAAAATGTTGGCACATCTTGCAAAATCACAGCTGTTTCAGTCTCATTTAGTGACTGTCCCACTCTCTGCAGCCCAGTTTGCCTTTTGAAATATAGCACAGCGAGCTATGCCGCAGCGTGTGATTAAAGCGACTGACAAGGGAGGTTTTATTTTTTAGCTCTTTGTCTCAAAAGCTTTAGAAATCTTGACAAGTACTGCTAAGAAATACAGATTACTTTTTTAGAAAGAAGATGCATAGAGATTTCTTAATGTGCACATGATTGTGCACATTTTTATCAAGAAACTAAATGCACTTTGGAATCATGATGGTAAAAAGGTAACTTTCTAAGATGAAAAAGCAAAGTTGAACTAATTTAATCTTACACAGTGCTGTTGTAAGAAAAGATCTCTGCAACTTCACTTACCCTGTGCATTTTTGTAGGTTGCAAAACAGTCTGCCAGCCAAGCCCTTCTGAGTCAGACCTTTGAACTAGATAATCAACTGATAACCATTAAAAAAATTAAAAGGTTAAATCAAAATAAGCTCCAAATGCTAATCACATGGTACCTACCATTCAGTTCTCCAATTATATAACTGTGTTTTGAAAGATTGCTTAAGTAAAATTTTCCAAAAAAATTTAACATCATGACTCTCAAGCAAATAAAATATGACTCTGTAGTCAAAAGTTTATTAAGGCAAAATTTTCAAAATGGTAAAACTGTAATTCCTATGCAAATGTAAAATGAACATGCGTCAAAGATTTTATTTAAATAATTCATTAGGGAGGGAACCACTAAAATGGTAAAACCATTTCAAAGAGTGTTTCAAAAGCTAAGGTAGAATTAGGATAAGATTGCTGGACTAGATATAAAACTGGTTAATGTCCAACAGGATAATAAAACTGTAAAGCCATTAGGGTTGTCTTTTCCACCAGGCAGAAATTATTTGCATCTCTATGGGATAAAAATCTACACATTAACCTCTGCCCTACAACATTGTTAAGTAGACCATTCAATACAAAAGCAAGGCCAGCTTTGCATCGAAAGAGCACTCAAAAATCTCTTCTGGCTATTTCCAAGTGTCAGATAACTTTTCCAATAAGTGAAATTATCTTCCATCAATGAAAGTTCTTAATTCTTGATGATACTAGTTTTTAGAGAAAAGTCTTTATCATCTTTCTTTGACCCACGTACAATTTCCATATCATATTTTCAGACTAGTGCCCTAAGTGTGCCTTCCTTTGTTCCGTGCTGAGATAAACATTAGAATTTCCTAAAATACTATGTAGATAAATCTACATCTAGGTTATTTATTCATTAGATATAATGTAATATATATTTAAAGATATGAGGGAATAAACAGGCTATTATACAAGTGCAGAGATTATAAACTTTTTGAGCATAAGTCTAAGACATTTTATATTTTGATTAGTTCCCCAGGGTGTCTAATAAACTTAATAAATATGAATGCTATAAAGATAGCCTTAAGTATAATTCTAAGACTCACCCCCAGCAAAGAAAAACAAAAATTAAATAGTCTCTTACAGTTTGTGATAGCTGTTAACTAATTTGCATACCACTTAAGACAATGCTCTTTGTATACCAAGAGAAAGCATAAGATCACTAGTAACAATATCAAATATGTGCATATACAAACACAATCCAATAAAATTCCTAATTGTTCAATTGTTTCTTTTATCATGGACAGTGATAGCAGTCTTCTGTACTTAACTTCTGAAAATTAACCCATGTACAAAAGAAAACCCATCTACAAAATAAAAAGCACACATCTTTAATTTCTAATATTTTTATTACAGACTTTTAAGATATGTATTTATTTTCATATTATCAGCCTAAAGAAAATAAGTCACAAAAATAAGCTTTTGTATGTCTGCCAAGGTAAATTGTTCTATTTCAAATTTATCAAGTTATAAATAAACCACATAATATGCTTATGTGAACCAAACCACAGCATAATCTGAGTGCATTTGAAAGGCACAGAGTACTCTCATTGTTTCAATAAGAGAAAAGAAGAGCATTACTTAGGATTAAAAGCCTGGCCCTGCAGCTATCCATTATTCAACAATAATACAGCATGAATTATTCACTGATTATAAAACAAAATACTGTGTTAAAAAGCAAAGGTGACTAAAATAAACATGTGTTCCTGGACCTTTCATTTAATATTAAGCATGTCAGAATACCTGGAAGCAAATAAGCAAAGCAAGACCCACATAAGGGAGAACCAAGCTGCCCAAAAGCTGTGTAGCTTGAGACGCAACATTAAAGCTCATTTTTAAGGAGACTGGATTCCCACCACTAATTTCACAAATTTGGATAAAGATGATCTATTCCACAAAAAGCTTATTAAAATGCAAGTATGCCACCTCGATAAGACAAGGTATAAGGCAACTTGACAAAGAGTTCTTTCAAGTCAGTGGCTCAAAATAGAACCTGGGTCTCCAAGCTTTTGTTATGCCTATTTTTCATTAAAATCCTGATTAATGAGAGAAAAAGGGATCTTAAAAAGCCCAAAGACAGCAGGTAAAAGTGGAGACTCGGGAGAGCCAAAGAGTGCACAGAATGTGTGGAACCAGAGAAAGGAACTCAGAGGGATAATGGAAGAGAAGAATGGTCTGAAGACCACTTCTCCAAGGGTCAGCCCAGCAAATAAGGATGCTAAAATATAGTACTTGAATGTGAGCCTAAGAAAGTTATGCTTAGACGATCATATGATCCCTCTCTCCTTGACCTGTCTTCTCTTCTAGTTACCATGTGTTGTTTTGACATTTTGCCCCTACACATTTACATAAGTTAGAATCTATAGGTATATATTAAAAAAGAAAAAACTAGTCTTTATTGTAATGTCTTTAATAGTTCTAATTTACAGTGATATTAAGTGACCCTTGATTAGAACACAGAAAATGCGGTGTTTTAGCAATAACATACAGAACTGAGAAAACAGAAAATAGAATGCATTACAACATCTTAAATTATATTTTTCAACTTTCAGGGAAAAAAGAAGTCAGTATATCAGCTTTTAAATAAGGAGTGGGTGAGGTGGGGTTGGGGGGAAATGATGACTTGTTCGAGATTTGAAACTTCTGTATGAACATCTATCATATGTGATGACATGCATATCTTCCCAGGACACAAAGACCCAACATGTGAATACTGTATGTCTATGTCCTACGCTTAATTAAGAAGTTGGCAGAGGGATGGGCGCCTGGGTGGTTCAGTTGGCTAAGCGACTGCCCTCGTCTCAGGTCATGATCCTGGAGTCCCTGGATCAACTCCTGCATCGGGCTCCCTGCTGAGCAGGGAGTCTGCTTCTCCCTCTGACCCTCCCCCCTCTCATGTGCTGTCTCTCTCATTCTCTCTCTCTCAAATAAATAAATAAAATCTTAAAAAAACAAAAAGTTGGCAGAGGGAGTTTGGGGAAAATTATTTGAAGCTTAATATTGTCCAAATTCACTGTTTTAGTTCTAGTCATGTGCTTTCATTGAGGAGAATTGAAAAGAGTCATGTTTTAATTTATTTTGTTCATATTTCTCATATTAGAATAAGCTAAACAATATATTTAAATGCACTCAATATCTGGTTCTATTGTCAATATCTGAGCAATATCATTTAAATCAATTTAAATATAATTAGAAGAAGCCTGAAGAAAACCACTATTAAGAAAATATACAAAAACTATAGTATATCCTTTGTAAAAATGACAAAATTTGTTAAAAGAACATCTATTAAAAAAAGGCACTCTATAAGTATAGTTTCAAATAGGTAACTTATACCTTAAAATTGTTTAATGTCTAAGCTACTAGACATAAATTGGACCAAAATTGAGAAAGCAAAACTACCTAACGCATAAAGGAGGAAACTGTGATTCTTGCTTCTCAGATTCACAGAGATGGCCGGTCATTTATAGATACAATAGAATATATACTGGTGCTTTTGCAAATAGCCCACCATCTCTATGCAGAATTATGGTATACCTGGTGTTTTTGCAGATCACATGCCTCAGTTTTCCAATGCAGAACTGCCTCTGGGTCATATTGGGACGGCTCTGTTTTAACAATCAGCAACTGAAGAATGTCAAGAACCCTTCCCATCAGAACTTGGTCAGACCAGTCAGTATGGCATAAAATATGCTTTGCTGAAGGAGTCAGCACCTCTGGTTTACACTGTTCTGTTAAATGGCATGACAAATGTTTTAACAAAGCTAGCTGGAATAATAATTGCAACCATTCTGTATAATCAGATGTTGAGACTCACATGATCCGATGTTAGAGAAAAATATGAACAAGTATTTTTTTGAGCAGTATGTTTTTAAAAGGTTTTAAGTCTGCTTATCATGCTCAGACACATCATATACACTTGGTTAAATTCATTTATTTTATATATTCATTTACACTGCCTCATTCCTAAAAAGACTTGAGGTTTGTGTACTTGATTTTAAAACCAAACACAAAAAAATGCATAAATATATCTAGTATTCTAGCCAGAAGATCCTTTTATTCATTCATAGGTAATACTTTGGCCCCATGTGCATTGATGTAAGTAAGAAGGATTTTGGCTCTCTGCTCTATGACATCAATAAGCTTTTCAATTCCTTGTCTACCTCCTTGACTTTCCCAATAAACTTTATCAAGAAACAGGGACTGAAGGAGTTTCTGCCGTAAGTGCTGGCTCTTCAAAACAGAAACTGCAGATTCGGGAAACCTGAGAAGATAAAATGATATTTCATTCTTAGTAATTGCTTAGAAATATTATGCCTTACCCAACTGCTTTGCCCTTCATTAATCTGGCATAAATCACACTATCAAGTAGTACCTGGAGAATGAAAACATTTTTGTCACCGTCAAGCTGACACTTCTCTTAATAATAATATACTAGAAGGATATGTTTCGAGGGAACTGAATTTTCTATGTTGAATTTTCCATTGAGAACTTGACATACTAACATCTTACTTAAAGTCATTATCTGTAGGCAAAGAGAGGCATGGAATTAAAAAGAGTTCTGTTAGCCTGGCAAAAATACTTTCCTCAATCTTAAGCTCCATTTCACCCATAGAAACCACTTCAATCTGTCAAGTAGAATAGTATCCTCATAAGTATCAACGTGGGGTTTTACACAAGAAAATATGAGAAGCAAAATGCTGACAAATGCATGACTGAATTTAATGTGAAATAATCCAAAATGTAGGTAGTAAAAAGAGAAAGGAATCATTCCATAATACCCAATTAAATAAAGAATTGTTTCTGATTCAGATTATACTTCAGGAATTCTGAAAATCTGGGAGCATTTTACTAAATTAGAATACTAAAGTGTTTTTCAAATAAATTTAACAAAACTCAAGTTTTAGAGTCAGGCATTCCACAGTGACCCATCTCTGGAAAACCTGAGGCCAGTTTGGAAGGGTCCTTGTTGAACTACCTTAAGAGAGTGATTTGTGCTTCTTGCTCTTCATTTAGAAAGTAAAAACAAGGGGTCTAGCATGTACATTATCTGAAGAATTTTGTCAAGTTTCAAGTTCAAACTCATAAGGAATGTCTTGCTGAATCTTCAGTTGGCCCATCCAGCTTTCACTGAAATACTGATGAAAGCACAATAAAAATATTGGGGTTGCATAGTAAATTTCACGTAAACATAGTTGCTCCTTAACAACTAAAACAGGAACATATCCTTGTTCGAGGAATACAGTTTGCCCAAAGTTTCAGGCCTCCTAAACGCCTTTTCCAAATTTCAATGGAATGAGCTAAGGGTGGCATTCAGGGGACATAAATGCAAGGGACTCAGGTGCTCCAATGCTGCAGAAAAACCAAAGGCCACAGAGCTGGACTCGTTTAATGAGTCTGAGTGAGGGTGGAGTTAAATAATGCTGATAAGATGCTCTGAGCTCCCTGAAGACATGTACTATATAATTTAGTGGCCATAGTATTAATTAAGCATTTTTGCTCTATGAAATATTAATAATCCATGACTTATAAATTCTATGACCCTTCAACTAATTTAGCTGTGGTAGAATGTATGAGATGAAACTGTGAAACCCATGGATCTCTTTAGTGACTAATCCTTTTCATAAAGGAAAAGCAAAAAACTACCTGTCTGTGCATTACATTGATTAATAGGAATATTCTATGCATAAATCTGGGCTAGCAATGTCTTCATTTTTGCTTTGCAATGTGACTTACTTATTCAAAAAAAATTTAACCTTACACTCATTACTCCTCATATTGCATTTAAAGTTAACTTCTTTGAAAGCATAAATAAAGCAGTATTCATATTAATATGAATGTATAGAACAGATGGACCATATTCTTAGGCACTCCTAATTCCAAGAGAAAATTTAGAGATTTAAGAAGACCCCAAAATATCAACTCAGTAAGTGATGCCTTTGGTCAATTTTTCTACACATAAAATTTCCTTAGTTTAGTCACATTAAAAAAAGAATCTGTCATATATTCTACCTTCAATCCATGAAGAGATGTAAGAATGAGTATTAACAGGGCAAGATATGGCAAAAACTCATGAAAGTGGGGCTTATGAAACTCTCATGGGAACAGTATTGTCTCTAGTCCTGAAAGTACATCAAATCCACACTACCTGATTAGAAGTGCTAAGAAGAACTAATGAAACACACTTTAGAGTGTTGTTACCAAGAGTAATAGTAACAGCATGAACAAACACAAGTTACTGCAGAAAAATGATTGGACTTGGATTTGGAAGACTGGGGTTCTACTCTCAGTTTTAGACTCCTTCATGTGCTCTCCAGCAGTCACTTAGCTTCACACAGCTGGTTAACTCTTTCACTACTGCACCCCTCTATTTCCAATTCTCAAACATACCCCAGTGTCTTGGTCACTCTGATTTCTGACTAAGGTAGGAAGGCAATGAAGAGTGGCTATAAGCTGGGGCCTAAAATCCAGCCTCAATCCCTGTAGCTAAGGTTGAATGGTCCAGACTCTATAGTGGGTTCCTGCCACTATTAAATGCACTAGTTTCCTTTATTTCCAAATACATAAGCTCAAGATACTTTTCTCCCTAGTCTATGTCTACTGGAAAGATTTCCAAATGCTCAAAAATCCTCCTACCTGAATTCAAACAGCCGCTGTCCTTTGATATTGTGTCCTAATCAGCAGATTAGCTCTAATTTCCCACCGCATTCAGAAAAGTCTCTTGAGTTTATTATGTCTTTGGACATCCTGCCATGTCACTATCTGTGTGTCTATTAGTCCCCCTGCCCCCTGCCCTGATAATGGAGCTTCTGCCACGTCCTCATCCCTGCTCTGCCAGTTCCTATTCCTAAAGTCCCTGCATGCTTCCAACTTTACCCACATGGATTTTCACAGTGAGGGCCAAGGAAATGTAGTGGGAGTTTTGTAGGTTGCATGGGTTGGTGACACTTGACACCGTGGCTGCAATCTTGTTCTATTCTGCTTAGGTCTGTTTCCCATTCCTGGGCCTCCAATCCCCAGATTCCACACCCACAATTCCTTTCAAGGGTTAGATCAGTCACACATAGCATTTGAGTTTTCTCAAAACCTTACTACTTATTTAATAGAAATGTGATGTCCCATAGATTTTACTACATCTTAAAACTTACTCTTTGATGCCTTCTAACAATTTGAAGTTTAAGTTATCTTCGCTTCTGTCAAAGAAACCCTTGTTGTCTATGAAGACCAAATGCCTTGGGTCATGCTTTCGCTGGATAATGTGTGCTAGAGCCACAGAATCTTGGTTGTCACATTTTGGCCTCAGTCCATTCTGTACACAGGCATCCTCCTTTCGAGGTCGGAATCCACAGCAATTTGTATCTAAGCGATTATAAATCTGAAAATGGAAAGCAAAAACAAAATCCAAGATGCTGAGTAAAAACAAAACTTGGGAAAGTTAGATTTCTGAAGAATTAGTGCTTTCTAAATAGCTGACTTGCCAGAATCTAATAAGGCCAGGCTCATTTAATTAAAGGCAACTGTCAGAATAAGTCCAAAGTTCATATCCTTCTGACTCAGCCATGGTTAAAAGCATTTCCAGCTTCTAACAGCTCTAAAGTCAGATCATCCAAGTTAGACATCTCCACCCTTAATATTCAAAGTTCCCACTGACATCATATGTAGACACATGGCCAAAAGAATCTCTGACTCTATTCATGACAGAATATAGAAACCACTGCACTTTTATATAACTAAAGGCTATAGCTTGTTTTCTTCCTCGAGTTGGGTTATAGAAAACCTGAGTATCTCAGTGGCTCTAAAAGTTTACTGCATCCGCTAACCTCTCTGGACTTTAGAATTACACTATCTAACCTGAAATAAATAACATAGTACAAATCTTTTGAAAAGATGTGACATCCAATAATGATACAAAAACTACTACCCAAATGGAGCCAACAGCTAGATTCTAAATAAGTGAGCAGGATGAACAAAATTATTGGGCTCAGTGGGGTTTATTACAGGAATAGGGTTTCTATCCTATAGAAGAGGTAAACAGATTAATTAGAAAGGGGGAATTGTGTTATTTCCATTTCTCTTGGGCAGGAAAGAAATAATATTTATTAGTCAGGGCCAATTAAAGCTTCAGCTTAGGAATTAGATAAATTTCAACTCAAATCTCTGTGACCTTGCATAGATTCCTTTATATCACTGACTCTCAATTTAATTACCTATAAAATGGGAATGGTATTATGGCACTGTACCTTGTACAGTTAGTGGGAAGATTAATGAAAATGTTTATACACCATCCAACACTAACCCAGGCATCTAGAAGATACTCAAAAAAATGAGAACAGTTATATTGTTGAGACCCACACATATACACTATATGAAATGATTTACCTCAAAACAAGCTTCTGAGACAAAAGGCAATTTGTCCATATTAATGAAGACAAATTGAGTCTCAGAGAGGTTGAATAATCTGCTCTGGGTAGAATATAAGTAAGCAGCAAAGTTAAGATATAGACAGCTATATTTGTCTCCAAAATTCCCATACGCTCATGATTCAAAAGACGGCTGGACATAAAACTGTCACTTTTATTCCTTTGGCACTAAATTCCCATTATTTCTCTTCCCCTGTTTTTATAGAGGGGCTAGCCACTCTAGGAGGTCAATTGCTCAAGAAGGAATGCAGAAAGAGTAGTGACAAAATTTAGCCTACTTTGAAATGATCATTCATTCCTTCATTCATTCATCCAACAAATGTTTATTGAACATCTTCTCCCAACTATCTGTGGGCTAGGCACCAAGGCAAATGTTGCCCATGGTCATTACCTCCCACCACCACTACTCCCAGAGGAAAATGAAGTGGTCATTTAATTTTGCCTCACCACCACAGCAAATTTTAAGAACTGGACAAATGACCTTCCTCTCTGTTTTCTGTACGTAAGTGAACTTTATATCAAATAGCATATTTTGAGAAACAGAGATTACAAAGAGGTCAGCCTAAGCCAATTTTCTGTGATATTTATGTAAAACCAGTCACATGGGACAGGGGTGGTCAGTGAGCCAAGAAGCATTTGGATAACACAGAGGGTACATTGCTGATCTACCGGCAACCTACAGATAAAGGGAGCCCTTTGTCAGGATTGGTTCCAGGCAGCTGATCCATGGGGCTATAAGTCTAAGCAATGATTTATCCAAAAGGTCACACAGGCTTACTGCAGAGAACAGTAAGTTTCCACTTCTGCTTAAAGTGTCTTTGTCTGACATGAGGACAGGGGTTGCCCAAAGGTAAGCAAGGGTGCCCCAAGCAAATCACTATAGGTTAAATGACAAAAAGCACAAATAAGAATGATTAGAAAAAATTATTGAGTCCTTTCTCTTCAAACAATTTGATTCATTTTGTGTAGTACCTTGACTGCCTTTGAAAATAAGAGAAATCAAGTGACATAAAGAGATTGCATCTGGTTGGCAATTATTTAAGTTAAGATCAGAGTCAGGGAGAACATGAAAAATAACCCTTCTAGAAGCTGCTTCTCATCCAGTCTCCCCTCTTCTATAAACATTAGCTAATAATTAGCTAATAATTCCCAAAGATTCTCTATACCATGCTCCAACATCATCATATGTTTATAACCAGTTATAATGACATTATACAATAGGAAAAAAAACAACCCTATTTAATTTTGACCACAATATGCAAGGTCTGTTATGTTGGATAAATGGTCAGAACTTAAGTTTTAAGGACTAATCTATCAACCACTTCATAAATGGTACCCTGAACCCTGAGCTTTTTCTTCATTGTTGATTTCATACCAGTGAAGAAAGGACTAAAACCTATAGCTACATTTCTGTTGTTTCTACTACAAAGCCATGAGTCAAATATATTAATGTTAAATAATAAGCGCTTTAGAGTTTAGACCCCAACTTTCAGTACTCATAAATATTATACTTTTCTATTTTTAAACTACAGGAGAAGGTTAAAAGTTAGAGGTGGAAAAGACCGATTTAGGTCATTTTTTTATTGCCTTCCCAGCATTAGATTGTTTCCTACAGTGTATTTTTAAAGTGCTTTGTCTGATCTAATTTTGAATCACTCAACAGTCTGTGATGATTTCACCACTTCCCTGACAGGCTGTTGTTGTGCCATTCAAGACTAACAGACCTTATTATTAAAAATGGGTGTGTGTTCAGCTCAACTCCTTGTCCAGAAAATGTTCACCCCCCACCTTTTATTTGGACCTACATATGAAGTTGGTGGGTATGTTAATACATGTTGAGTGTGTGTGCGGGTGTGAGTGTGTACACCTCCAAATATAGAATCAGACTGTAAGGCCTCAAATAATCTGGGTTTCACTTCGTTTTTCTTATCCTCTAAGTAGAGTAAATTATGTCTTTGTATTATTGCCCTTGTCTAGCAAGGGCTTAAGTAGCTCTTAAATCTTGTTCCCTAGCTCTTCTCAGAATTTTGTTTATAGTCTTCCTTTTGAATTCACATTCACTATACCAAAAATAATTTGACCACAAAACCATAATCCACTCCCTTAAATTCAGTGCCATGTTGCTGGGCATTTAATTTAGTTATATATTGAATATATTTCTGCTTACTTCCAAGAGAGTCTACCTATTTTTTTTAAAGCCTAATAAAGCATATCCTAGATAGTTATGAATCCGTAATATGGTTTCAGTATATTTTTTTGGCACACACATTAAAACAATCATTTCATTTAACTACCACATAATTAAGCACTGTAGTTCACATTCACGGGTCTATGTCTTTAGATAATTATCCTACAAAGAAGATTCACTGGAGGTAAATCTCATCAGTTAAGCAATCGTGAGTATTGATGGTCATTAATGCAACTTGTTCAAATTCACAACCTTTCACTCTTTAAAACAAGGAAAATCTTTTACAGAATCGATCTTCTGAATCTGAAGATTACTACCAACCATCATTTTCTGTAAAATTGCTCTTTCCTCTTTAGGAAAATATATCTTTTCCATGTTTACCTAACTAAAATTATACTCAGAAAAATCCAGGTGTTCCAGCCAATTTTTTTGTTGTTGGTGGGAATATTTTTAGATATACTGCCTTCTTCTAAAGTTCCTTTTTTTAATTCCACTTTCCCTGTGGGGGTGTTACTTTTGCCTGCATGAATAAAGTATCTTTTGAGTGACTCAGTTATGTTTACAGAGCCTAAACAAGGATGCCTCTGCTGCACTGACCAGCTCTCCAAAGACCCATAGGAATCTAGAGAAATCCAGTGACTTTCCACCCTTTTGCACACCACCCATTCTAGCTGTGTCTTCAAAAAGTGGGTCTATCAAAGCAATGGCATCAATGGGACTAAATGACTAATTTCAAGCAATGTCTGAACAAAAGCAAGAAAAAAAATATTCTAAAAGTGCTGCTAATATTAATGAAAAACATAAGAGCAGTCACTTAGCAACTGTTTAGTATATGCCAGGAACTGTACACTTAATGCTTTACACATATTGTTGCATTTAATGCTCACAGCAACCTGAAGGGATAAGCACTACCAAAGGTCCTGTTTGATAAGTGAAGCAAGTGAGGCACAAGGAGACTGGTTGGCTAACCCAAGGTCCCTCACTTCATAAATGACAGAACTCAGGATTTTAACCCAGATATTCATGCCCTTTTCCATCCTGATTGTATCTCTTGTGCATAGCCAAGGTAATAGTGCAAAAAAAAAAAAATGCAAGTGCATTTGTATAGAATACTAAATATCACTACATTCAATAAATGCTGGTTATAAGGTTTCATCAGAAATACAAAAAACTGTACTGTAGGAGTTCAGGTAAAAATGCATGAAGGAGAGGATATTACGGTTGTGTTTTGAGAGACAGGAAGTATTAGCTAAAAAATAGGCAAATGAATGAAGGTAGGAAATCAAAAGACATCTTTAGAAGAACTGAGGGTACATTAGACCAGCGCTTCTCAGACTGTCTGTAGTGAAAGATCAGGTGGTTTTGTTTTTTCTCTCCTCCGGCCCCGCAATCCATATGGAGTATGTTTGTTAAATGATTAATAATAATAATAATATTAATAATAATAATTAATTACTAGAGAAATAAGATTTTAAAAAATACAAAATACCAGCCAAATATTTGTTAGAATCAACAGATGAAATTCCTCTACCAAACTGCTATCAAAGTTTCTAAGTGCTTATTTGCAATTTTTGTACTTATCATGGACTAGTAAATTGGCAGGGTCCTGGAGTCACACTTTGAGTAGGACAACGTGAGACGGCACTGTCGAGGGTTAGGGGAACGTGAAGGCAGGTAGCAGAGCAAAAGGTGGATAAGAGTATTGTGCCTACAAAAAAAGCCAAATTTCTGATGTGCCTTCAAGTTTCTACCATTTTCTCATGTATT